ACGTTATAAGTTATAACCATTTCTTTCTTTCTTTTTGTTCAAGCTCTCATCATTAAATAAATTCATGTGTATTCGTGATATAGGACACTATTTGTCTCGTAATAAAGGGAATAAAGAAATAATTCAGTATAAAAATTCAAATAAGGTTGTTAAATTCGGATTAAATATGCTTGTGATTGTGAGACTTTACACTGTAGATGTCTGTCACATGCATGATTCAAATACCACACTCATACATCCTAATGTATTCAATTCTAGTGGTTTATGTTAATACTACCACTATGTTTTGTTGACAAATTATAATGCATGGAGATGACAAGAAAAAAAAGTTAAATAATCTCAAAATTGTGGATATTGATAAAATCGAAAAATTTAAAGATTCTTTTTGTCTGAAAAGGAAATTAATAGACGATAACCAGATGACTATAGTTTAGATATTTGGTTATGTTGGTTGAACCATCGATTTCTATTTAATACACACACTTAATCATTTTGATTAAAATGATAAATGTATATTAATATGAATTTCGAGATACATGAATAGATTCAAACCATAACCTTTTTTTTGTAGAGATTTGATTAACCCGTGAACACTAACCTTTTTTAGCATTTGAGGATAGGTTTGATAGGAGATACTATTTGATCGTTGAATATTTATAACGATCTTAATTTTGCCAACCTGTTGATTTGAGATAAATCTACTTTCATATTATAAAACAAATTACGATGGAAATTATTTAAAATGTTAGATATGGGTCGTTGAAATTTTTGGGCTACAATCAAAAACCATTTGGCAACTTGTTAATAGCGATTCTATATATTCGGTAAGTTGTTAATAGCGATTCTAATATTGACAACTTATTAATTTTAGATAGTATTACATTATAAGACAAATCAAGATGGGGAATTAAAACATTAGATATGGGTCGTCGAAATTTTAGGCCTGCAAAGTGCAAACTCATCTATCAAAACCATCGTTCTTAATTTATTGACCTTTTTAAGTAAACAAATTCTATTAATAGTAACATTTAAAAGAATTACATTGTTTTTCTTTTTCCCAAAAGAATTAAAGAATTACATTGTTTTTGGTCCGGTTTTGTCAATACAAAGTTCAGTTTTGTAATCGACAACAACACAACTCCCAATCCCATCAATTATGTGGTCACCAAAGATGAACTTTTTATACACCAATAAAAATGTAAGAATATTATATTGACTGTAAATAATTCAACCACAACTTGATACATTATTGATAATGAACCCGATACAAGATTTTTATTACTTTTTGTTGACAAAATATGGTACCTTTCTCAAAGCTGATTTCCATTTTTTTCCCATAGCATAGATTACATATTTGTTTTTTTTGTTCACTTTTATTTACTTTCAAATAACAAAAGCCCTAG